CTCCTGAGTAGCTGAGATTACAGCCATCCACCACCATGCCAGGCTAATTTTTGTATTTTAGTAAAGACAGGGTTTCACCATGTTGGCCAGGCTGGTCTCGAACTCCTGACCTCAGGTGACCCACCTGCCTCAGCCTCCCAAAGTGCTGGGATTACAGGCATGAGCCACTGTGCCAGGCCTAAGGTTTATTTCTCTCTTTTTTTTTTTTTTGAGACGGGGTCTCACTCTGTTGCCCAGGCTGGGGTGCAATGGCACAATCACAGCTCACTGCAGCCTGGACCTCCTAGGTTCAAGTGATCCTCCCACCTCTGCCTTCCCAAGTAGTTGGGAGTACAGGCATGTACCACAACGCCCGGCTAATTTTTATATTTTTTTGGAGAGACAAGGTCTTGCCATGTAGCCCAGGCTGGTTTTGAACTCCTGGCTCAAGCAATTCACCAGCCTCAGCCTCCCAAAGTGCTGGGATTACAGGTGTGAGCCACCACACCTGGCCCTATCTGGTGATTCTGTGTTGCTGTCCTTAGAAAGATTTCCCCCATGTGCTGTTCTTTCTGAAAATCTCTTTACACCTGCAATGGTAGCCTGTGCCCTCAGCACAGCAGCCCCAGGGAGAAGAAAGCTCTTCTTGCACGTTGTCCCAGCAGTAGCCCCAGGAATGAGGCTCATTTGGACCAGCCCAGGGCCATGCTCATCGTGAATGGGTCATCGCAACAGGGAATGGATGGAAATGCTGCCTGGCCAGCCCTGAGTGAATCTATGGAGGGTGGCCCTTTACAAACACCTCTGAGAGGTTCTGTTCAGAGACATTTTAGAGGTGCCTGTAGATGTGTGAGGCCTGGACCAGGCTGAGGGTGGGCAACAGTTTGCCATCCCTGCTCTCACGGGGCCGTGAGGGCCAGGCTGTGGCGTAATGGCTTCATCACTAAAAGCAGGCTCCAAGTCATCCCTCCACCCTCTGGATCCAGCGGAGAGAAACGCTGTCCTGTTCCTATTCTGAGATCCCTTTTTTAGGGCTAGAAACTTAGGCTGGCAGAACCCAAACTGCCCAGAAAACAGCATTCTATAATTCCCAACTCTACCCCAAAAGGGAAGGTGGGTTACAGATGTAGAGAGCTATGAAATTAACATTGTGGGCCAGGTGCAGTGGCTCATGCCTGCAATCCCAGCACTCTGAGAGGCCACAGTGGGCAAATCACTTGAGGTCAGGAGTTCAAAACCAGCCTGGCCAACCTGGTGAAACCTCATCTCTACTACAATACAAAAATCAGCCAGACACGGTGGCGCACGCCTGTAATCCCAGCTCCTGGGGAGACTAAGGCAGGAGAATCGCTTGAACCTAAGAGGCGGAGGTTGCAGCGAGCCGAGATCGAGTCACTATACTCCAACCTGAGCAACAGAGCGAGACTGCCTCAAAAAAAAGAAATTAACATTGTGTACATGTGGCCACTGTCGCTGTATTTCAGTGGCTCTTCAAATAACCCTATCAGTTAGGTACCATCATGACACCCAGTTTTCAGATTAGGAAATGAGGCTTGAAGAGGTGAGGTGACTTTTCCAAGGTCACACAGCAGCTGGGAGGTGGCGAAGCTTTGAATCAAGTGCGAGCCTGTCCCACTCCACAGCCTAGTAGCTCTCATGAGCCCAGCACAAAGCTACCATAAAGCTTCCACTTTCAAGCAGCACGTGTCACCTTCTAGGTTTCTGGCTCTCACTTCTTAGAGGCAATAGCCAGGCTCAAACCCTGCCAGGAACAGCCTGTGATCCACATGAGAAACCAAAATATTTTTCTTCATGTGGGTTTGAAGCCGATGCTGTTGGGGTGTTCCTACACATGCCATCCTCCCATCCTCAGAACCAGTTTGGCTGAGGACAAACTGGTTCTGAGGATGAGCGGATGGCATGTGTAGGAAGCCCTGTGAGGACAGAGCCAGTGGGACACTGACCCTGGCAGCCCAGTGGGGCTGGTTCAAGAGTGGCCTTGGAGGCTGGACGCCGTGGCTCGTGCCTGCAATCCCAGCACTTTGGGAGACCAGGGCAGGCAGATAACCTGAGGTCAGGAGTTCAAGACCAGCTTGGACAACATGATGAAACCCCATCTCTACTAAAAATACCAAAATTAGCCAGGTGAGGTGGCACATGTCTGTAATCCCAGCTACTTGGGAGGCTGAGGCAGGAGAACGGCTTGAACCCGGGAGCTGTAGTAAGCCAGGACTGCACCAGCTACTCAGGAGGCTAAAGCACGAGAATAATTTAAACCTAGGAGGTGGAGGTTGCAGTGAGTTGAGATTGCCCATTGCACTCAGCCTGGGCGATAGAGCAAGACTCCATATCGAAAAATTTTAAAAATGGCCTTGGGCATGGCAGGGCCACTCCAGAGGGCTGGCCTGGGTGACCTGCCTGCCCACTGGGATGCGATGTCCCGCCATGTGCCCCCCGTGTCCCACATGAGGAAGGCTGCCTGGCAGCTGGACAGGAGTAAGGGCACCACGGTCATCAGGCTCATTCTGAACTCTGGCCCTGCCACACAGTAGTTGAGTGGCCCTCCTAGGAAAGTCCTTAAACCTCTCCATACTGTGGATAGGACCCCTGCCTCCCAAGGCTAGAGTGACATCTGTTTATTTATTTATATATTGATTGACACAGGGTGTCACTGTCGCCCAGGCTGAAGCGCAGTGTTGAGATCATAGCTCACTGCAACCTCCAATTCCTGGCCTCCAGTGAGCCTCCTCCAGTGTCACACCCTCTTGGGTAGCTGGAACTACAGGCACCCACCACCACGCCCGCTAATTTTTAAAACACTTTTGTAGAGATGAGTCTTGCTTTATCACACAGGCTGGAGTATGGTGGTACAATCTTGACTCACTACAGCCTCAAACTCCCAAGCACAAGTGATCCTCCCACCTCAGCCTCCCAAGTAGCTGAAACCACAGGTGCGTACCACCACAGGCTAATTTTTGAATTTTTTGGTAGAGATAAGGGCTCACTATGTTGCCCAGGCTGGTCTCAAACTCTTGGCCTCAAGTGATCCTCCCAAAGCCCTAGGATTACAGGTGTGAGCCACCATGCCTGGTCTGTGGCGAGGTTTAAGTGAGATACCCCAGAGAGAAGCAGAGCTCAGCCCAGCCCCTGAGACCCCGGCCGAACTCAATTCCAACAACAGCCCCTGTGACAGACACTACTGCCATCCCCTTTTGTGCTAACAGAAACCCAATCAAGGCAGCCAATAAGCCCAGCTCAGGCTTTAAGTCCTGATTGTTCTGAGCTAGTGTTTCTCAACTGGAATAAGTTTCTGGAGACATTTTTGGTTTCACAACTAGGAAAATACTACTGGCATCTAGGAGGTCAGGGTCAGGAATGTTAAACAGCTTGCAATGCACAGGACAGCGTCAAACACGGAGCTGTCCAGCCCAAAACGTCAATAGCCAAGGCTGAGAAATGCTAGTTGAATCCAGTCCCGTTCCCAGGCTTTCCCGCCTCCCTTGCAGCGGGTACACCTCAGGACTGAGAAACGGACAGTGAAGGCTAGAAGAAGGTTAGCCAGCGCTTCCAGGGCAGCCTCCGCTTGCATGATCGAAGGGACAGAATTGCTGATCTACTTCCCTGCTCTCTTCTTCCCTGAATGCAGACGCGGCACCTGCAGTTGCAAAAGTCACCTGCCATGATGAGGTGTCCAGCACGTGGGGAAAACGTCAGGATCACAGAAGGGCTGGCCCTGGGCCTGATTCCAACCAGCCACTAAATCAGTGCCTGTAGTCACCACCCTTTTACTTTTTTTTTTTTTTGAGATGGAATCTCCATTGCCCAGGCTGGACAGCAGTAGTGTCGGCTCACAGCAACCTCTGCCTCCCAGGTTCAAGCAATTCTCCTGCTTCAGTCTCCCGAGTAGCTGGATTATTGATGCTCACCACCATGCCCAGCTAATTTTTGTATTTTTAGTAGAGATGGGGTTTCACCATGTTGATCAGGCTGGTCTTGAACTCCTGACCTCAGGTGATTCACCTGCCTCAGCCTCCCAAAGTGCTGGGATTACAGGCGTGAGCCACCGTGCCTGGCCACTTTTTACCTCTTGTTATTGAGAAAAAAATAATTTCTGTTTAAGTCACTCAAATTACATCATTCCATTACTTATAACTATTGACAAAAAACACTGACTTTCATATACTATACATATTAAAAAAGAAAAAAAGTAAGCCAGGCACAGTGGCTCATGCCTGTAATCCTAGCATTTTGGGAGGCCGAGGCAGGAGGATTTCTTGGGCCCAGGAGATCGAGGCCAGCCTGGGCAACAAAGCAAGATCCCATCTCTACAAATAAGTTTTTAAAAATTAGCCAGGTATGGTGGTGCCCGTCTGCAGTCCCAGCTACTTAAGGAGCTGAGGGAGGGGAATCACTTGAGCCCAAGAGTCTGAGGCTGCAGTGAGCTCTGATTGTGCCACCACACTCTAGCCACATGGCTCTCGCCCTGTAGGTCTCAGGGCTGCCATTTTATCCAGTGCCAGCTTCCACCCTGACACCCACTTTTCCACTAGCACTTACCTCTGAAATTATCCTCATTTACCTTCTTCTCTGTCCCTCCCTCATTCCCTCTTCCACTGAGCATAAGCTACAGGCCCGTATCCCCAGACATCCCCAGAGCGCACAGCAGGGTAGGCACACATGGGAAGCGCTTGAAAATGCACTGAAGAGGGAAGGGTCTGGGCACAGTGGCTTACCCCTGTAATACCAGCACTTTGGGAGGCCAAGGCAGGCAGATCACTTAAGGTCAGGAGTTCGAGACCAGCCTGGCCAACATAGTAAAACCCGCCTCTACTAAAAACACAAAAATTAGCTGGGCATGGTGGCAGGCACCTGTAATCCCAGCTACTCGGAGGCTGAGGTGGGAGAATCACTTGAGCCCAGGAGGCGGAGGCTGCAGGGGTTTAAGATCACACCACTATACTCCAGCCTTAGACGAAAGATCGAGAGAAAAAAAAAAAGAAGGATGGAAGGAAACAGCCTTCTTGCATTTCACAGTAGTTATTTATTCCATTTTCAAGATCAGATCCTTTTAAAAAACTTATCTAAAAAGTCTTCTCTGATAAATAATACATCTTTAATTTACAACTCCTTTTGATTATGAAAATGAGCCTAGTCTTTTTAAAGTAACTTCTGTCCAATCCTGGGCAGAGTTTCTGAGCAAATCTGTGCTGGCGAGTCATGGAACAGCAGTCTTGGCCCTCTTGGTGGTCAGGTGGGTGGTGGGGTCAGTAATTCACATTCCGCATGGTGGCCACGGTGGTGGCCAGGCGACGGGGCAGGCCTTTGCTGACCTGTCTATAGTCCTCGGGCCTAGCCTTCAGGAGCGTCACAATGTGCTGGAGGGTGCGGGATGGCTGCAGGCCCAGGGCATCCATCACGTTGATCAGATAGTCTGTGGGGCAGAGATGAGACAGACAGAGCTCCACAGACTCAGCGCCAAGCAGGACAGAGCCCCACAAGGCCTCCCCTGAATACGAAACAGAGAAGCTGCCCTGCCAAGTCCCTAGATGCAGGGCGCCCACCCTGCCCTCAGTAGGAGAATGCTTTTCTCCCGGGGTTCTTCCCACAGGGTCAGACTAGACTGTGAGCTTAGCTTGAGTCCAGGAACTCTAATAAGGAACTAACCAATATCACCCCCATCCCCACCAACACACACACACACACACTGGCAGGTACCTACTCCTTTACAAGTTTATCTTTAAAACTGTGAGCTCCACTTGACTGCCGGCCAACAGCTGCAAACAGCGGGCACAGAGTCTACCAGGACATTTTTGTTTGGCCAGCAGTGTTTTTTGTTCTGTTTGTGCTCATGCTTGATTTGAATGCCTTTCAGGTGTGCAAGCTTTGCCACGGCCCTCACTACTCTCTATCACCTTACACCCTGTCAGTTTTATATACTAGCCTTACCTTCCCTGCCCCTCACCTCACATCCTTACAGTGTAAGCTCAGTAAGCATGGGAGCTGCCTAAAGCTCTGTTGTCTCATTTTAGAACTACAACTGGCACACAGATGCTCCAGCAATGCTGAATGAGTGACGGAATGAATCTGCAGGGGGAGCTTAACAGGGAGGAATAACAAGGACAACTGAAACTGAGGGTAATCCCCAGATCTCACTCCATTCACTAGTTCCAGTTGATTCTCTTCCCCCTGCTGCTGCCTGTACTAACAGGTAACACCACTGCTCACTTGAATTCTCTCATCTCTTTCTTGGAAGGGAAACAGCCAAAAGGCTGCCTATTCCTCTGGTAAGTGCTGAGAGCTGACTATGAAATGAGCAGGGGTCAGGAACTCAGGACAGCTGGACCCCAGGCCTGCTCCATCACTAGCAGCTCTGGGACCCAGAAAAAAGCACCTTGCTTCTAGTTCTTCTGTAAAACAAGAGGTAGAAGCTGGCTGAGCCTGGCTCAGCCCTGTCGTGGTCACTGAAGACGAAGCTCTGGCTGAGTCCCCAGGGAGCTGATCTTTCAGGCTTCTACCACCCACTCTCCTGACCACCCCAAGAGCTGCATTAGGATAAAAAGCCAGCAAGGCAATGGAATAATATCAAGAGACTGGGGAGACGCCCTGCCACCTGCCAGCAGTAGCCCCACGCTCAGAGCACACCTGGGCAGTGAGGCCCTCCAGGGATGAGGCCAGACAGGAGCAGAGGGGACACGCCCACTAATGTGGGAGGCAGGATGCTATCTGGATGGAGACCAAAGAGTGACCCTGGCCATGTGGGCTTGTTATGCAACTGCCTTGGGCCTCCGTTTCCTTACCAGTATGATGGAGAAGAGAGCACCTACCTCTCAGGGGAGTTTGGGATTACATAAGACAATGGGTGTGAGTGCTTGGTCCAGCACCAGGCATGCCTAGTATGCAGTGAGAGCTCATTGAACCCTGGTTGGCAATTATGGTACAAATGGAGCCGGCCAGGCAGGGCCAGGCTGCAGGACTTGCTCAAGCTTATCTCACTGAAGCTCCCTTCAATGGTTCTCAAATCCTCTTTCAAAACACAGATGTCTGAGCATCCACCCGGGCTTGCTAAGTCAGAATCTCTGGGGTGGGGCCTGGAGAACCTGAATTTTCAACCAGCTTCGGAACCAAATCCACAGCTGAAGCTAAGGGGAGACGTGGGATGAGATTCCTGGAGGGCAAAGGAGAAACTGACAGATGCAGGGTGCAAGAGCTGTCCCTCCCACCGCCTGTCCTGTGGGGACCCACCAATGTCGGTGGCCAGCTGCTTGGCAGAGTGCGGGCTCAGCTCGGGGATCTGGAGGATTGCATCGCAGTAGGTCTGCATTGTGGCTCTGGCGATCGAGCCCAGCCAGTTGTCAGCCATGTTGTCCAGCTCAGGCAATTCATCCCCTGAAAAGGAAAGGAGGTCACCAAGGAAATGCAGAACCTGAGGGGTGATCTGGCCCACAGTAGCTGCTGAATGCACCAACACACCGGGAAGTTTCCATTCTTAACAGGAAACATAGGAAACTGAGAACAGTTACATCTTAGGGCCGGGTGCAGTGGTTCACGCCAATAATCCCAACACTTTGGAAGGCTGAGGCGGGCAGATCATTTGAGGTCAGAAGTTCAAGACCAGCCTGGCCAATGTGGTGAAACCCCATCTCTGTAAAAAATACAAAAATTAGCCAGGCATGGTGGCAGGCACCTGTAGTTCCAGCTACTCAGGAGGCTAAGGCAGAGGAATTGCTTGAACCTAGGAGGCGGAGGTTGTAGTGAGCCCAGATGGTGCCACTGTACTCCAGCCTGAGTGATGGAGTGAGGCCCTATCTCAAAAAAAATTAAATTAAAAAATTTTTAAAAATACATCTTAGGTCAACCAGTATTGACTAAGTACAATGAGGATTCAGAAGAGGAAGCAATCGGGTTAATAACATAAGCATCCCCAAAGGCCTGGGGACTAAGCCCAGCCATGCAGGCCAGGAGGATTTCTGCAGACTGGAGGGAGGCCCAATGAGGGGAGCCCAAAACCAGAGTGTAGATGAGTAGACACAGGTGGGTAGACAGGTGGGAACAGGGGGACACCAGCCCACCACCAGAAGGCAGAGCACCACAGTCAAGTCAGAGGTCACATCAGAATTGAGACTCCCTGCTAAGAAGCTGAGTGCTACCTCACCTCTCAGATGTGATTTTCACCTGTAAAGCGTGTGACAGGGGCGGTGTGGGGGTGGGGGCGGTAACACGCCAGGCTTTACTGGGCTGCTGTGGGAATTAAGTTAGAGAATGCACACAAGGCCCTTGGCAGGGGCTGGCACACAATCAGTGTGCTGTGGTTAGTGCTAGAATGATTACAGGGAGGGGGAGACGGGCTGGGCCATGGACAGTACCCGAGAATCACGTGGATCCCATGTCGTGGGAGATAGGGAACAACTGTAGGATCCCAGTGAGGTAGATGACGGGACTCAACTCCAGAGGCAGGGCTGGGACACCAGACCACATTGAGGACTAGCTCACACAGGGACAGGGCGAAGGCAGCTTTCCATAAATACGCCCACCAGGGCCATCTCAGTTTACCACTGCCATGGCAACACCTGGAAGCTACCACCCCTTTCCACGGCAACAACCTGACAACACAGAGTTACCACCCTTTTGCTAAAATTTTCTGCATAATCCTCCCCTTTAATTTGCAGTGTAATCAAAAGTGGGGATCATCATGACTCCGGACTGTCCTGAGCCGCTGTTCTCAGCAGGCAGCCTACGGGGCAGCCCCGCTCCACAGGAACAGTCACAGAGCCATAACACTGCCATCTCAATAAAGCTGCTTTCTTCTACCACAGTTCACTCTTGAATTCTTTCCTGAGTGAAGCCAAGGACCCTCTGGGGCTAAGCCACAACGTGGGGCTCACCTGCCCTGCATCATGACTAAGGCTTCAACACGACAAGCCCATGCAGGTAAGCTGGTCAGGCTGTGGCGAGGTGAGGCGGGAAGATGGGGCAGCTGTCCAGACAAGACAGGCGGGCCTGGCCTCCTAGGGAGAAGAGGCCACTTGATGCCAGAATGGAAAGAAGGGGGAAATGAGAGCAACATTTAAAAAAAAGTATGAGGCCAAGTGGTGAAATAAGATACTTTTTGAAGACAAGGACACCACTATGAGTGCTAAAAATAATAATACAGAATAAAGACTGGGCGCAGTGGCTCACATCTATAATCCCAGCACTTTGAGAGGCCACGGTGGGCAGATCACTTGAGGTCAGGAGTTCGAGACCAGCCTGGCCAAGTTGGTGAAACCCCATCTCTACTAAAATACAAAAATTAGCCAGGCATGGTGGCAGGTGCCTGTAATCCCAGCTACTTTGAAGGCTGAGGCAGGAGAATCACTTGAACCCGGGAAGCAGAAATTGCAGTGAGCCAAGATTGTGACACTGTACTTCAGCCTGGGTGATACAGCAAGACTCTGTCTCAATAATAATAATAATAATAATAATAATAATAATAATAATAGAGAATATAAATTTACACAGAAAATACCATCTGCTTACAGAGCAGAGCCAGGGGGCACAAGGGAAAATAGAAATACCAGTATGTTCCACAGTGGGATATTGCCATAGATTTTTTCTTTTTAAGTTGTGATACTGTTTTAGACACAGCATCTGTACAAAAAGAACAAGTTAGAAGGCTAAAACAAAACAAAAGAAAACAAAAAACAGGGGTTGGTGACAAATGAGCCCAAAGGTAAGATGTAATCTGGGGTTTCCACCATGGAAACTGACAACTAGACTTGTAACATGGCCAGAAACGCAGCTCTGGCAGTGAAGCTGCTTTGGGAGAGAAACCTCCTTCCTGCTGAATTTGACTAGATAGTAGAATACCCAGAAAAGGCCGAACATAACCAGAGGCCACATACCTAGACTTGAGAGTTACTGGACAGAGATGAAAACTGAATAAAAGGAGAAGTGAAAATGAGGCAGAGCCGTCGGCTAAAGCCTCAGGGTACACTCCGAGTCGACGGGGAAGAGGGGCCACACTGGACACAGCGGGTGACGGGCAGTCATTTGCTCACTGCACAAACCCTGATTTACCAATGGCCTGCTGGGTGCAGAGCTGCTCTGGGTACTGGTGCTGGATGACCCTGCATTTACTGTACTCTCTGGCCATGGGAGAAAGAAGGCGTTCATCACGTACAGCGTAGTTGGTATTACAATGAAGGTGCATTCAAAGATTAACAGGGGCACGGAATTAGGAGCAAATACCTTCACTTCAGGCTGCCGAGGAAGAGTAGAAACAAATGGGCTGTTTGCCAAACACACATGAGGAAAACCATTCCGAGCATGGGGCAAAAAAAATTGTTTTTAAACGGTGTCCATGAGGCCAAGCATGGTGGCTCACGTCTGTAATCCCGGCACTTCGGGAGGCCAAAGCGGGCGATCACTTGAGGTCAGGAGTGTGAGAACGGCCTGGGCGACATGCAAATCCCTGTCTCTACTAAAAATACAAAAAATTAGCCAGGCGTGGTGGCGTGCACCTATAGTCCCAGCTACTCAGGAGGCTAAGGCAGGGGAATCACTTGAGTCTGGGGGCAGAGGTTGCAGTGAGCCAAGATCACACCACTGCACGCCAGCCTGGACAACAGAGCAAGACTCTGTCTCAAAAAAAAAGTGTCCATGATAACAAAGCACATGCAACATGATCCTAATTATGAAAAAGTGTGTGTGTGTGGTAGATCTGCAAAGAAAGATGTACGGGACAACAGTCCCTAAAATGTTACCAGCGATTCTCAGAGTGTTTTTTTTTTTTTTTTTTGGAGACAGAGTCTCATTCCATTTTCCTGCCTTACCTCCCAAGTAGGTGGGATTACAGGCGCCCACCACCACATCTGGCTAATTTTTTTATTTTTAGTAGAGACAGGGTTTTGCCATATTGGCCAGGCTGGTCTCTAACTCCTGACCTCAGGTGACCCACCCACCTCAGCCTCCCAAAGTGGTGGGATTATGGGCGTGAGCCACTGCACCCGGCCTCAGAGTGGTAGATTTTAAATCAGAGAAAAAGAGAAGCTATTTTTTTTTTTTTATAGAGACGGGGTTTCACCATCTTGACCAGGTGGTCTCAAACTCCTGACCTCATGATCCACCCGTCTCGGCCTCCCAAAGTGCTGGGATTACAGGCGTGAGCCACCACGCCTGGCAAGAGAAGCTATTTTAAAATTAAGAGGGCAGGCGTGGTGGCTCATGCCTGTAATCCCAGCACTCTGGGAGACCAAGGTGAGAGGAATGCTTGAGCCCAAGAGTTTCAGATCGGCCTGGGCAACACAGTGAGAATCCATCTCTACAAAAACTAAAAAATTAGCCAGACATGGTGGCACACACCTGTAGTCCCAGGAAGGCTGGGGAGGCTGAGGCGGGAGGATTGCTTGAGCCCAGGAGTTTGAGGCTATTGTGAGCTACGATGGCACCACTGCACTCCAGCCTGGGTGGCAAAGTGAGATCCTATCTCTAAAAATAATAATAATATTAAGAAAAAGTCCTGAGTGGCAGAAATATGAGTGTGAGCAGTTGAGAGAGAGAGGTGGAAGGAAGGGCAGATGAGGCTGCCAGCACTTCCTGGACCAGGTAGGAGTTTAGATTTTATCCTATAGCTTTGAGTGGGGGCATCAGAGGTTTTTATGCCAACGGGGAACAATTAGTCAAAAGGCAAGGACAAGTACTAACACATGGAAGCAAAAGGCAGCACTCAGGAGAGAAAGGAAATCTCAGGAAGGAAGGTGTTCAAGGCCAGGCAGATGAAATGCTTCTGCATTTGATTTGGGGAACAGCCTTGGAACACTGCAACCTCTGTCATCTGGGTTCAAGCAATTCTCCTGCCTCAGCCTCCCAAGTAGCTGGGATTAAAGGCGCCTGCCACCATGCCCGGCTAATTTTTGTATTTTTAGTAGAGACGGGGTTTCACCATGTTGGCCAGGCTGGTTTCGAACTCCTGACCTTAAGGGATTGCCCACCTTGGCCTCCCAAGGTGCTGGGATTACAGGCGTGAGCCACTGCACTGGCCCCAAGACTTAGAAAGGTTCTGCTTATCACATCTCTTAGAAAAAAGCCATTTACCTAAGCAAAAAAGTTCCAACTGGCTGTTTGCCCTTGATTCTTAAAATCTGCCATGCTAAAATGCTAGAAATCACCAGATTAGAGATGGATGTTCACTGTATAATTGTAATTTTTTCTCTGTTTGAAATTTTTCACAATGTTGAGAGAGGTAAAGAAAAAAATACCCAGATTGGCTTCTTTCAACCATTGTTAAAATTTTACTTTATGGTTGGGTGGGGATTTTTACTATCTTAATAATGCCCAACCCAGTCTTTCACAAATAGAAAGCAATTAATAAACACTTGTTAAGTGAATGAGTAAACTAATGAGTTGAATGAATAAATGAACAAAACAATTACACATTCACTACATCTCTATGTGTTTTGGAAGACATTATATTCTTCCCAATGTGCTGTAACAGACAGTATACCCAGCACCGCAGTTTTCTTGCCAAAAAATGTGAAGCTGCACTGAGCCCTTCCTTATCAATAGAGATACATAATTAAATATTTATGAGTGAAATCCTAAGGTACTTGGGATTTGACTTAAATACTCTAGCAAAGGCCAGACATGGTGGCTCATGTCTGTACTCCCAGCACTTTGGGAGGACAAGGCAGGTGGATCACTTGAGCTCAGTAGTTCAAGACCAGCCTGGGCAACATGGTGAAATCCTGTCTCTACGAAAAATAAAAAATTAGCCGGGCATGGTGGCGTGTGCCTGTGGTTCCAGCTACTTGGGAGGCTGAGGTGGGAAGACCACTGAAGCCTGCGAAGTTGAGGCTGCAGTGAGCCCTGCTTGCACCACTGCATTCCAGCCTGGGCAACAGAGCAAAACTCCATCTCAAAAAAATAAATACAAATAAGAAAAATAAAGTCCTATTTCTTGTGGCAAACTGTGTGGATGCTGATCCCTTGTACCAGAAGGGAACAGTTACTGCACAGGGGGAGTGCTAAGTGGCTCACATGGGGAGGTGGGCACGGGACAGGTGGGCAGGGGAGAAGATTCGAGGAAATACAGAGTCCCCTCCCAGGTAGAGAGGACCGGAGGGTGGCTGTTTCTCCAAGGGCAACACTTCCCTCTGGGGCCCAGTCTGGTCCTGGACTTGCCGGAGAAGACCTTTGAGTCCACTCGCAATAAGGGAGTGTCCCCACTCAGTTCCCAAAATGGAACAACCTGGCTTCTTCCTCTTCAGGCTGGGATCCCCTCAGCCTCCCCACTCCTCCTACCTCTCAGGCCCCCACCCATGCTTGGCCCCCAGCTGCCTCCTTGTTCTGTACTTTCCCCGTGTTCCTCACCTCCACGCTCATCATCTTGCGCTCTGTGCCCTGACTGGTCATTTCTCCTGTCCCCATCCTCCTGCCTCTGACCCCCATTCACCCTCCATCTGACCCTCGTCCTCCCATTCAACCTTTCTCCTGCACCACCCCCCACCCACAAACTCCCTCTCTCAGTCCCAAACTAGTTCAGAGAGCCCTGACAACAGCCCCCAGCCAGCAGCGCAAGCTCCATATCTCGGCATGGCCGACCAGTGTGGGCTCTGCGGCCCTTGGAAGGCAGGGACATAGCTGGCACAGCCAGGACAGCTCAGAGCAGCACCCCTGCATGGCCCATTTACTCTTTTTTTAAAAATTAGAGTTTATCTAATAATCAGGCAGTTATCTTGTTTTCTTTCTATTTGCGTTTACATAAGATGTGGTTTTATAGCCCTTATTTTTAACTTTTTTTTTTTTTTTTTTTTTTTTTTTTTTTTTTTTTTTTTTTTTTTTTTTTTTTTTTTTTTTTTTTTTTTCTTCTGAGACAGAGTTTCACTCTTGTTGCCCAGGCTGGAGTGCAATGGCACAATCTTGGCTCACTGCAACCTCTACCTCCAGGGTTCAAGTGATTCTCGTGCCTCAGCCTCCCAAGTAGCTGGGATTACAGGCATTTGCCACAACGTCCAGCTAATTTTTGTATTTTTAGTAGAGAAAGGGTTTCACCATGTTGGTCAGGCTGGTCTTGAACTCCTGACCTCGTGACCCACCCACCTCAGCCTTCCAAAGTGCTGGGATTACAGGTGTGAGCCACCGCACTCAGCCTTTAATCTTTCTTCTTAAGAAATTTTTATTTATTTATTTATTTATGAGACAGAGTCTCACTCTATCATCCAGGCCAAAGAGCAGCGGCAACGCCATAGCTCTCTGCAACCACAAACTTCTGAGTTCAACTGATCCTCGTGCCTCAGCCTCACAAGTAGCTAGAACTAGAGGCAGGCAGCACCACACCTGGCTAATTTTTTAACTTTTTTGTAGAGAAGAGGTCTCACTATGTTGCCCAGGCTGGTCTCAAACACCTGGGCTCAAGCAATCCTCCTGCCTCCATCTCCCAAAGTGTTAGGATTACAGGCATGAGCCACCACACCCAGCCCACCTATGTTATATATTGACAATTATTTCCAGAGGAGTTTGCAGAGCTGTGTGTGTGGAGAGGTGAAAGTGCTAGGAACAAGCATCCAGGCCAGGCATAAGCATCATCTAAATCCCATCAAGTCCACCCACGGTCCCCACTCACCCTGCTCAGGAGGAAATGGCAGCTTTCCGGCGTGCAATGCCAGCTCTAAGGCAGAGTCTTCCTGAGTCACAAATGGCTCAAGATTCAGGGGGAGGGACATGATGTACTGCCCGATCTGAAACAAAAGAAAGCGCTGTTAGCCTGACATTGACACATACGGGTTATTAGTTTATGGGTACATTTGTGTGAAAGCAAATGGCAGAGCTAGACCTGGGGTGATCCCAAGTCTGATCTTTCCAGTATGTGGCAATGTTTGCTATGGCAGTACCCTAAAAAAGAATCCTTGGTAGCTTGCAGGTAGATTATAGATTCATCCTTCTCATAATGGCCCCAATATTTTTGGAATGCATTCAATACAATCTCTATCTCAAATGAAGTAATGGATATCAAAATGCTTTGTAAAATTTGAAGCACTGTGTAAATATAAGTATTATTACTGTTCATAGGTGAAAGACCAATAAGATGCTAGTGTCAGAAAGTGTGGGGCCAAGCAAGAATTCAAATCCTGTCTTCTGAGGCCAAGCGCAGTGGCTCGTGCCTGTAATCTCAGCACCTTGGGAGGCCGAGGTGGGTGGATCACCTGAGGTCAGGAGTTTGAGACCAGCCTGGCCAACATGGTGAAGCCCTGTCCTACTAATAGTACAAAAATTAGCCAGGTGTGGTGGTGGGTGCCTGTAATCCCAGCTACTCAGGAATCTCAGGCAGGAGAATTGCTTGAACTTAGGAGGTGGAGGTTGCTGTGAGCCAAGACCATGCCATTGCACTCCAGCCTGGGTGACAGAGTAAGACTCTGTCTCAAAAAAAAAAAAAAAAAAAAAAAATCCTGTCTTCTGGATTTGGATCTGATTCTCTCCCTCCTAGATAATATAAACAGAAGAAGAAAGGAATTCTGTCTGGAAAAAAAGCCATTTATAATTATAAATTAATTTGGAGAGAAAACTATACTGTTTTCATAATACAAACTCTTAAAACTAAAGATAGACAAAACCCTAGCTGGTGGGGAATTGCAAAAGGTCATTTGCAATTGTTCTAAAAGACATTTGGGACAAGCTCACAATTAGCCCAGTCTTTGTCATGTGTTTGTCAGATATCCATGTGATATCATGAGTGTATTTTAGACCACTATTTCCTATTTCTATTATAATTCATTGTTCTGTGTTTTAAGGTAAGTATATGTTTTGTTTCTAAATAAAGGGGTTGACTTTTCAGGTTTCAAAAAGATAATATATATTTTTAAAAGGTTGGAGCTTGTTGTTGCTTTTTTTTTTCTTTCCTGTTACATATTCATTCCATGACATTGATGTCACTGATAATTCTGTAAGCTCAAAGTCAGGGGACTATCGAAGCAAGGTTTTCTCAATCTGGCCTCACGCATGTCTACATAACAGCAGGCTCCTTTCAGGGTGTGGTGTCCAGAAGTTAACAGAGGCTCGAAAATTTACCCAGCCCAGAGAACTACAGGATGGTCATATCCTTGCTTCCAAACATTCAAATGGTTTGGCTGTGTAAGTGTAAACATCCATCCAATAGTTCACTATGTTTAAACAAATAAAATACAATTATTAGTTTTATGTCCATCCCCCTTTTTTTTTGAGATGGAGTTTTGCTCTTGTCGCCCAGGCTGGAGTGCAATGGCGTAATCTTGGCTCACTGCAACCTCCACCTCCTGGGTCCAAGCCATTCTCCTGCCTCAGCCTCCAGAGTAGCTGGGACTACAGGCATGCACCACCATGCCTGGCTAATTTTTTTTTTTGTATTTTTAGTAGAGACGGGGTTTCACCATGTTGGCCAGGCTGATCTTGAACTCCTGACCTCAGGTGATCCACCCGCCTTGGCCTCCCAAAGTGCTGGGATTATAGGCGTGGGCCACTGCACACGGCCTGGTGTCCCTTTATAAGAGGTGCACAGACGGTAAAATAAATCAGCATTTTTTTCTTTCATGTACTTAGTATAATCTTTCACCCAAAGTAGGCAAGTGGTCATTTACCTCACTAATAACAGCTACTATAAATTTCAGCTTGAAATGTTAACAACTTCATCATTTTTCCCCAAGGCTGGGGGAAGAGAAAGATGCTGATTTCTGGTGTTAGAATTTCTCCATACTATAATAATTCATCTCAACAAGCCCTTCCTGAACACCTACTATGTACAAAGACCCCAGGCATACTCCTGTATTTGGTATGCCTTTCATCTGTAGCCATAAGCTTTTGGCTAAGTCCACAGATTCAGTTTTACCTTGTATATATATTGTTTTTAAATTTCAAAGCATTTTCTCCTATTTCATCTCTTTACATTGCTCACATGATTCTGTGTGAGTGAGGGCTTTCACCAATAAGGCGAAGTATCATTTAGGTGCAAAATTTCAATCATCCGCCGTCTTTAACTGCAGTCAATTGGACTTGGACTTTGGGATTGCTAGGGTTCCTAGAGGGGCCCCACGGTACAGGATTCTCTCAGGGATCTTGTCTCTATTCACCCTTTGGAAATCAATGCGGAAAGGGCTGCTTAGCATCACACCTGTGGATATTTGTCTACTATTCTCACATATTCAATAAGTATTTCTTGATATCCTGGTTGGGTTAATTCAGTGACTTGGGAAAAATGAAAAGTTTTGAGGTCAGACAGACTTGGGTTGGAGTTCTGGCTCTACCACTGTGAGAACCTGGGCAACTTAATCTGTCAGGACCTTGGATCACCATCGCTGAAATGAGGATGACCTCATATTACTTCAAAGGGATGCAGTGAGGGTAGAATTAACACATGTGCTATGCACGTAAAGCACCTGGCGTCCTAATAGAGCAGCCACTGGGTAAGTGGCCACTTCCTCCCAACCCCACTCCCACTGTGAAGGAGGGCTGCCACACCCCGTCTCACGGGCATGATCCAGCCCAGGCACTAACCAACCTGGCACTGGCACTGTCCCTGCACACAGTACGTGTTCCATTAGGTGTTCCTTTCCTGGGTTCAGGTCATCAGCCTCCAGGTACAACTCAGAAGGACAGCAGTAGGCAGGGAACGGCCCAGGCTTGGAAACTCCTCCTAGCCCTCCTTCCCTCTCAAGACCTCAGTTTCTTCAACCTTTGAATCAACTTGGTGGCCTCTCAGGTCCCTTCTAGCACCATCATTTTCTGAATCAATTTAGACTGCAAGCATACTACCTCCATTCTAAAATCAGATCATTTGGCTGGGCACAGTGGCTCACGCCCAGCACTTTGGGAGGGAAAGGTGGGTGGTAAACCCAGCACTTTGGGAGGCCAAGGTTGGTGGATCACTTGAGGAAAGGAGTTCAAGATCAGCCTGGCCAACATGGTGAAACCCTGTCTCTACTAAAAATACAAAAATTACCAGGTGTGGTGGCACATGCTTGTAATCCCAGCTACTTGGGAGGCTGTGGCAGGAGAATGGCTTGAACCCAGGAGTCGGAGGTTGCAGTGAGCCATGACTGCGCCACTGCACTCCATCCTGGGCGACAGAGCGAGACTCTGTCTCAAAAATAAATAAAAATAAAATCAGATCATTCCCACAGGTTGTAAAGACCAACCCACATCTTAACAGTTTCATCAGTAGAGGGTATCAGGTGCCCTGGGAAATAGAAGGGAAATGACCATTGTTTTAGATTTTTGATATTGCCGCAAATAAACAGAGAGCAAAGAGCCAGCCACCTTACTGCCTGCCAGTGGGACTGCGACACATGTCTTCCAGTTATACAACATGTACCTTTTTTTTTTCCTGAGGCAGGGGTTGCTGTGTTGCCCAGGCTGGAGTGCAGTGGCGTAATCACAGCTCGCTGCAGCCTCAACCTCCTGAGCTCAAGCAATCCTCCCACCTAATAAAAAAATTAGCCAGGCATGGTGGTGTGTCCTGTGATACCACCTCAGCACCCCAAGTAGCTGGGACCACAGGACACACCACCATGCCTGGCTAATTTTTTTATTTTTTGGGGGGTTCCCCCTATGTTGCCCAGAATGGTTTCAAACTTTTGGGCTCAAGCAATTCTCTCGCCTTGACTTCCCACAGTACTCAGACTATAGCATGAGCCACCATGCCCAGCCTAACATTTATAATACTTTTAAAATTCCTTTCTAATTATTTCAGCAGAGTCACAACTTACACATAGGGGTTGGATTCTAAGGCAAGAGCCTAAGGCAGAAATCACCTTGAAAAATCCCAGAAATCTCCCATTACATGAGGTGAGTGTGGTTTGGTGCATATGACTCCTCTGTAGTATTTCTTGTGCGCAGTGAGCAACTGAATTGGACTGCAGGGAAGTAATGGAAGGAAAGGCCGCGTGCAGGTGCCTGGGTGACTGTCAATTCCCAGGGGTGAATGGGGAGGGCAGCAAGGACTCCATGTGTCCCCACTCCCCTGCATGGTTTATTCTTTCTTTCTTTTTTTTTTTTTTTTTTTTTTTTTTGAGACAGAGTCTCTCTCTGTTGCCCGGGCTGGAGTGCAGTAGCACAATCTTGGCTCACTACAACCTCCACCTCCCAGGTTCAAGTGATTCTCCTGCCTCAGCCTCCCAAGCAGCTGGGACTACAGATGCCCAACACCACACCCAGCTAATTTTTGTATTTTAGTAGCAAGAGGGTTTCACTATGTTGGCCAGGCTAGTCTCAAACTCCTGACCTCATGATCCACCTGTCTCAGCCTCCCAAAGTGCTGGGATTACAGGCGTGAGCCACTGCACCCAGCTTACTCTGTTCTCTTTTAATATTAAGCCTCTATAACTGCAATTCTTCTGAAGAGATTTGTTTGTTGCTATGAAGTTAAACATGAAAGCACTCCCCACAGAGCCTGGCACATAGTAGGTGATCACTAAAAGCTGGATCACCGCAAACACACACTATTCTGAAAGTCACAGAGAAGAATTTGGCCCCCTGCCTCCTGACTTCCCACATCAGAATTTCCTATTAGAGTCTCCACTCTGACACTCTTAGGTACTGGCCGCATCTCATATAGAAGAGATGGTGAAGGAGTGAGAATGTGTCGGGGTCTGGAATCGCCATGTGGCTCTGCTGCCCCTTCTTCAAGTCCAGGATCTGGGTGCAGACTACCCCAAAACACAGCTACCCAAAGGGCCAGAAAGTACCCATGAGGAAATGACTGCTATAAGGGCCAGAATCAAAAGACAAGGAAGGTCTGAAAGGCTTGGACCACCCAGGAGAAGCACACAGAAACTCTTACATTGCTGATGTACTCAAGGGGGGTGAGGCTAAAGGCAGGCAGGTCATCCGTGAGGGTTTCTCCGATGCCAGCTGTGTTCCAGCTCTAGGAGAGAAAGGAGAGGACGCAATCAGTACCCAGCAGCCAGGCAGTCAGGAAGGCGCCATCCAGAAATACACAAAGAAGAACGTGGCCTTCCCTGGAGGCGCTGTCTTTGGTAGGAGCTGACCTTTGGACCCTCCACCACTCAGCAGGCAGGGGCTTCTCTTTTTTAAAGCTTCACCTGGAAGCCCGCCATAGAGAAGGCAATGGTTTCTCTCTCCGCATTCCTGCAGGTCCATAAAACAGGAACTGCCATGCTGGCTGACCTGTGGGGTGGGAACTGATCCCTTTTGTTTATCTTGCTGATATTGTGACAGGAGAGAGTCAGATAGGTTTTGGTTCGAGTTTCTCTGCATAGCGGGGCCACTGTGTAGAGAGGTGCTGGGTGCAGGCAGCCTTACTACCTCGTGGATCCTTAGTACCCTAAAGAGAAAAGGACACCTGAGGTCTCCCACAGAGGCCATGTGTCAATCCCTTATCTGGGAGGGAGGCCTAGGAAGCCCCTCTGGCTGCAGGAAAAGCCAAGCCTCATTCCGCAATACTGTTTACCCCAACTAAAGTTGCTGCTTTTATTTCTCACCACCTACTGGATCTGTTTCCCAACTGATTCAGAACTCAGGGATGGGATGGGATGGCACCTCCAAACCCCAACAGCTGCCCCTCTGGCCTCTCTGTGGTTCCCCTGTGCGAGGAGAACCTCAGCACCAACACGTGTTCCTTGCCATTTGGAGTGGAAATGTCCTCTGTGTTGCTGTGTGAGCCTTACCAGCATTCTGTATGGAGGTGGGTGAAGCACCCGTGCACATGTGCTCACAGGCTTCAGCGTGGCACACCTTCACACAGCAATCTCGCGTCTTACTTCCAACCTGAGCCACTCTAAAGCCAGCCTGGAAAACAAGGCCCTTCCTGGCTGAACTCTGGGAGTGACTCCGGTGGTCATGTAGGAACTGCTGTCTGCAGCCACTGATGCCAGATCCAGTTGCCTGATCCTTTAAGTAGTATTCCGGGAATGAATGACCATGTCCACCCCTGGGCTCCCAGCCCAGGCTCTACCTCGGCAGGGCTCCCACGCTGTCTAGCGCCCACTCCATTCGGTCTCATTTTCTTTGATGTAAATGAGCACTTTTCTTCCCTACCCCTGGTCCCCCCAACCCCTGTCCTACAGTTTCCTAGACTCTGTTTTTGCTTGAGAATCCTCTTTCATCTCAAAAGAGCATACTTTGCTTGCCCGCTAACTCCCAACCCACTGAGAAGGAACACGCCAACCATCCACATTTACCAAGTCCCCAGGACATCGAGTGTCTTATGCTAGGCTTTGCAGAGAAGGGACAAGAAATCTAAGATTTGCTCCTTGCTCTCCAAAAGGGAAGCAAGGCCCCCCACACACTCCCAGCCTGTACACCCCACATCTCCCATCCTGCTTTGGCCCCTCCCCTCTTCCCCCTGCAGGCACGTGAGTGCTGCCTCCCACTTCTAGAGCCCTCAGTGTCAGGTTTTACAGTAAGAGTTCAGAGGAGCAAGAGCTCAGGGCAGTTAGAGAAGGGGCAATGCCTGTGGTGTACAGAGGCAGAAAGGGGCTGGAGGCAGAAAGAAAGCACAGCTTTCAACACCAGGCTAAGTAAAGGCTTTACCTTCAACAAATAAATTGCAAGGAAAAAAACAGAGAGGGGAAGCTTATCAAAAAAAAAAAAAAAAAAAAAAAAAAAAAAAAACCATAAAAGACATCCCAGTAAATCTCAATGTGCAGATCCTGGATCCTAGATCCTGACTCAAAGGGTTAAATTATGCCATTTATAAAACAACTGGAAATTTGAACACTGATGACATCAGGAATTCCTTTGCTTTTTCAGGGTTGACTGTGATTATTTTTAGAGTCCTTCTAGTTCAGATGAGGGGAATGTATGAAACAGGATGGCTAGGAGTAGATCATGGTTGGAGCAGGCGAAGAGGATATGGAGTTCCTTACATTCTTCTTCCTACTTTTGTGTATATGTGAAAAGGTCCATAATAAAAAGTTTCTAAAAACAGACAATTCAGACTAGCCTTGGGGAGGGTTTTCAATCAGGAGAGACAAAACCAAAACAATGTTTTGTGAAGGTGAATACAGTGGCTCTGCAGAGGATTGGGGTGGGGGGCAGATGAGAAGCTCAAACACAGCGCAGAGATGATAACACCGGTGGAAAGAGGTGCGCGACACAGAGAAAAGGAAGGGACAGTAATCCTTGGTGGTTTGTTGGCAAAGAGGGGTGCAGTAAGGGGGCCGAGATGGTGACAGGCTGGGAAGCAGAGTGCAGGGAGAAGCAACAGCTTCCAGGAGACCAAGAGCAGGTACCAATGTGTGGGGTGAAGACCAGCATCGCCGCCATCCATCCCAGGGACCGCAGCCTGGAGGCCCTGAGAAAGGCCTGAGAGAGGAGGCAGGAGGAGCAGCCTCAGAACATGAACAGGCGGAGGAGAGAGGGAAAGAACAGCCGGAGTGGGAAAGACGTTTGGAAGAAGGGCAAGACAGAGTGGCTTGAATTAGGGAGGGGCTAAAAAGCAGCAGAGGGCCGGGTGCAGTGGTTCACGCCTGTAACCCCAGCACTTTAAGGAGGCTGAGGTGGGCAGATCACTTGAGGCCAGGAGTTTGAGACCAGCCTGGCCATCATGGTGAAACCCTGTTGCTACAAAAAATACAAAAATTAGATGGGTGTGGTGACGCTCGCCTGTAGTCCCAGCCACTCGGGAGGCTGAGACATGAGAAGCGTTTGAACCCAGGAGGCAGAGGCTGCAGTGAGCAAAGATTGCGGCACTGCACTCCAGCCTGGGCAACAGAGTGAAACTCTGTCTCA